CCTGCTGAAGCAGCCAGAAAGGAGGGAGGAGTGGGGCCAGCTCATTCCTCCCAGGGAATGAGAAAGTACATGCAGAACCGTGACCCCTCCATCTATTCCGGGTGTGCGATGTTGCCCTCCCCTCTCCTCTCTCCAACCCCCCAGCACGGCTCCCTGAAGCTGGGCAATCACTGGATCCTTGGTGGAAGCAGCATCCACCCTGCATAAGACATCCACCATTTCAAAAGACAAGGCTGCAGCCTGCACAGGACTGTGAGAGAGCTCGAGAGCATCGCGGCAGCAGGAAGGGAACAGCAGCTCTGTCCCAGATCCAGGCAGGCTGGGGGAATTGGGACCGAGCTGTGACCTATCTGCTGCAGATGCCTGGCTCCCTGTTCCAAACATGCTCTCTACTAAATCCAGCTGGCTCCACCTCAGCACCGAGTGCTGAAAGGAATCAAACCTTTCACTAAACCCAAGGGTTTGGAGCAGGCAGCAGAACTCATTCCCAGTGTCGCTTCCCCAAGACTTCTGACACATCTGCTTGGAACCTTCACCTGCTGCTCTCCAAGAAGAAACACAGCAGAGAACAGAACCTCTTTAACCAGAAAGTGCAGACAACATTGTGCTGGGAGCCAAGCACGTGTGTGAGATGAATCCAGCACAGCAAGGTTAGTTCCTCACCATCCACAGAGCACGTCAGCCTTGAGCGGGGCTGTGAGCAGGGAGGATGATGGCTGAACATCCATCTCGATGGGCTGGGGGGTGGGATGGACACTGTGTTGTGCTCAGCCTGACAGAACTTTTTTTAGGCTTTAAGGAACTTCTCTGCTGTGGCATTAACAGGTCTGAAGCCCTGAAGCTCTGTCCTGTGAGCCAGCAATGGGGTCCTCATGGCCAAGAAAGTCAATGGTCCCCTGGGATGCATTAAGAAGAGTGACCAGCAGGTTGAGGGAAGTTCTCCTCCCTCTCTACTTGCCCCAGTGAGGCCACATCTGCAGTGCTGTGTCCAGTTCTGGGCTCCCCAGTTCAAGAAAGACCAGGAACTTCTGGAGAGAGCCCAGGGGAGGGCTATGAAGATGATGAAGGGACTGGAGCATCTCTGATGAGGAAAGGCTGAGAGAGGTGGGTCTGTTTAGCCTGAAGAGAGGACTGAGAGGGGATCTCATCAATGGTGATCAATATCTAAAGGGTGGGTGTCAAGAGGATGGGGCCAGACTCTGCTCAGGGGTGGCCAGTGACAGGACAAGGGGCAACGGGCACCAACTGGAGCACAAGAAGTTCCAGCTGAAGATGAGGAAAAACTTCTTTACTTGGAGGGTGTCAGAGCCCTGGGACAGGCTGCCCACAGAGGTTGTGGAGTCTCCTTGGAGATTCCAAACCCACCTGGACATCATCCTGCACAACCTGCTCGAGGTGACCATGCTTTGGCAGGGGGGTTGGATTTGATGATCTCCAGAGGTCCCTTCCAACCCCCACCATTCTGTGAAACAAACCATCCCAGCCCCAAGCCTCCTCGCAGGAAGGTGAGGGACCACCCTATGCAACTGAACTGGGGTTCCTGGTGCCTGGCAGGGACCTTACCTCCGTGTAAATGGAGGGGGTGAGGTAGCAGAGCAGCCGTACATCATCTTCCTGACAGGCCTTCATGTCCATCATCAGACACGTGTGCAGGTCCCCCAGCTGCGTGGCCTGGGCGAAGGACTCGTACAGGTTCATCTTCCCTGCTGCAGCTTTGCTAGAAGGAGATGTGTCCATGGTGAGAGAAGAGCCCCTTGTCACGGTGGTGGTGTGACACTGAGCTGTCTCTTGGAGGCACTGTGAGCCAAGTCGAAGCTTGGACACTCTCCTTGCAATCCCCACTGGCCTACCTGGCTTTTAAATAGTACAGGAGGTGGTAACCGATCTTGGGTTGCTTCTGATAGAGCTCTGACAGGAGATCCAGCAGCAGTGAGAAACCGCTATTATCCTCCTGCATCTGGCAGAGGTTCCTGGGGGAGGACAGGACACACGGACAGTGATGTTACATGGGACAGAATCATAGAATGGTTTAGGTTGGAAGGGACCTTAAAGATCATCCAGT